CAGTGTGAATAGAATTCCAATTTTTAGTAACCACTTCTAAAAAAGATTTATGAGACAACCAAATATTTTCAAACCTGAAAGATTTAGGGCTTGTAGTCACCTTATTAAAGCATTCAACCAATATAGGCATGTGATCTGATGAAGAACTATTCAAATGAGAAATTTGAATATTTTCATAAAAGTCAATGCATTTATGATTAAAAAGGCATCTATCCAATCTCCTCCATACTCTACCATTGGATCTAACCCCTGTCCATGTATACTTGCATCCAGAGTAAGGAAGATCAACCAAATTACAGCTGGCAATACAATCAGAGAATTCCCTGAGTCTTGTAAGTACTGGTGTTCCCCTCCCTTGATGTTCATTGAAATTAGCAATTGTGTTAAAATCTCCTCATATCATCCAAGGATCCTTGATAGTTTTAGAAAGGTCAATCAAAGCAGTCCACAAGGTTCTTCTTTCAATGTAAGTATGTCTTCCATATATTGCAGTAAATCTTCCTATGAAATTGTCTTTTTGCATCTTGAAGTGAACAAACTGATCCTCCCACAGAAATTCAGAGAGATCAACCTTGTTAGGATCCCAAAAGATCCATATTTTATTAACTTCCGAAGTAGCAACTGCATTAAGACCAATCTGGGTAGAGTATAAATCTGCCTTAGCTCTATCTACCATAGGTTCAATAGCAACTAAGAAATTAATTCTCCATTGTTTAATTAGGGAATTAAGTCTAGAAATGGAGGATTCTAGACCCCTAACATTTCAAATTAAACACTTCATTTAGACTCCTTAAGAGAAGTCAGTAAGAACCCATGGTTATCTTTCTTCCGTGCTGCATTTCTGGTAGTTATTGATGACCCCCCTACTTCAAGTTTCCTTCTTGTTCTTCTTTTGGTGACCAGGGTGAAATCATTATGTTCTTCTTCATTTGATGTACTCTGTGCATTCTTTTCTACCCCTTCCCCCTGTTGATTTTCTCTTTCTGTTTGTATCACCTTTTATTTGATCAATTCCACTTTGTCCCATATCTCAGGCCATCCATGCTGCCATGCTTCACAATCAACTATGTTAGGGTTTTCACTGTCAGAAAGACACTCTTTGTCTCTGATTTTAGGATCAAACTCCAAGGTATCATGGAGTTCCTTAATATATGTATCATCTTTTGCATCAGATTTCCCTTTTGCAGGTATATGTAATCTAATATTATATATTCAAATATCATATGTAGTACTACCTCCGTCCCGCTATGATTGTCCCATTTTACCTTATCGGTCCATCCCACTAAGATTGTCCTATATCAAATTTGGTAAAGTTTGTGTGCCTCTAAATCATTCTTACTTTATTTTAACTTTATCAATTTAATATCAACTACATAAATCACTTTTTATTGATTTGCGTGTCACTCCATCCTGTCTCATCGTTAGCGGGACGGAGGGAGTATATGATGATATGAGTGCATGAATACTTGCAATATTTATATATATGAATGTATCAAAAGATATTAGATACATATATATATATAATTTTGAGTATGAAAAGATAATTGAGAATAGAGAGAATTAGAATTTGAGAGTAGAAGAGAGTAAGAAATTAGGAGGTGTAGGAAAATTATGAAAAAATGGGGTATTATTTGAGACACATTTATGGCCATTAAATGCTCCTTTAATGCACAAATTTTTCAAGGATCCCATACATATTAGATAGGCGGGAGTATAGATTTGAAAACAAACAAATGTACATTTATATCCTCCGTTTGGGCGGCAATTTTGCCTCCAAAACTAACTTGTAACAACTTTACTACTTTATGTAATATAAAATTTTGGTGCCTAATCTATTAAATTACATGTAATAAAAAATAATATATTTTAATTTTTGAAGTTACAAATGTTGTAAGGTTATTTTTTAAAGCAAATACATATATCTCAAAAAAGGTAGAACATGGTACAAATATGGTATCACAATAATAAAGAGAACACATAGTGCACCTTAGGTTATTACTATGTATTAAAAAATAAGGATTGAATTACGAATTATAAAATGCAATAAAGTCCATATTCTTTCACACTTTAATGTGTGTAAGAAACTCGTTTATACACATTACTAGCATAATTTTACATTATTTGGCTAAGATTTTATTTATTATGTTTTTACGCGAAACTTATTATTTTTGCAGGAAATTTATCAGGGCTAGGATGAAAAATAATTCAAGACCAACTTTGGAGACGAAGGAGCAGAGTTACAGCGCAAAACACCTATTTGGATCACCGCCCAACTCACAAACTTGAATCTGGATGATGGTCTGTCAATCATTTGATAGTGTCTCTTTGTAAAAAAACTCCAAATGAAATAATTCAAATTTCATGTGAGAGATAATTCAGATAAACTCAATGTTCTGCAAATCTTCTGAAGTCACCATGGCGAGAATATGAATGCATCAATGTGAAACCAAACGAGGAAGTAAGATAATCACTATTCAAGTTTCAGGATGACACCTTTTACCATTTCATTCATATCTTCTGATTGGATGATTCAAATCAAGTGTTTCCAAATTGTGTTTGAATAATTTAATGTTCATCTTTTATAATATGGAATAACCACTCGGATAGTAACTGCACACAGAATAATTTAAGAGAAATCTAAGTTATTCGGGGACACATTCACACACAAGTTACCACTTTCTAAGAGGTTAGTGCAGTTAGAGAGCCGTACGCTTCTTCGTTTGTGCAATGATTTAGAAACCTGTTGCATGAGGGATCAATATTGCTCTCTGAATCATTGTACTCTACACCGTGAGAGCAGTAAGAATTTAGTATTGATAGTGTGGCTGGATTAAATAATCTTCTAGGGATTAAGCCTGATCAGGCCCAAAAGTTTGTTGCCCCAAAATCAATCCATGTTCTTATTTTGTCATTAGTTATTTAGACCAAAATAGATTTGAACTATTGTCGCCGCATTTATTTTACAAAACCAAATCGCTCACAATGCATTTAATTTATTTAATTTAATCGCTAAAATAAATTATCATTTAATTCCCTTTTTTCCATTCATGTGGTTACTCTTAATTCTACTCTATACTAATATATTTATTTTAAGTACGAGAAAACTCACATCACATATCTATATATTAATTGATTCAAAACATGATATTTATATTTTTTTCTGACAATCAAAGCTGGGGGTGTTCGGAGGTGAAGGATGCGGTGACAGAGTCTTACATTTTTTAAATATTATTTTAGGTAATTGTTTTTAACTTTATTAACTTTTACAATTATTTTTATTTTTTATTTATTCAGTTTTTAGTTTTTTTGATTTTATTTTATTTTATTTTTTCCATTTTTATTATTAATTTATAAATACTTTATATTTTATAATATAAACAAATCTATGATTTGCTTATTAGTAAAATAAATCTATTAGGAATTATAGGAAGTGGTAAAATAGGAAGAATGGACATATATTGCTCCTATTTTGAGAATAAAAAATGGTAGCCTTAATATTGCATTTAGGAGTAATTTTACTCCTATTTAGGGCTAATAGGCGATTATTTAATGAAAATTACCGTAAATATGATACCTATGTTTTTTCTTCTAAAAACAGAAGTGGTCACTACCACGATTGAAAATTACTGCCATTAATGACATTAAGTATTGTTATATTAATGTCTAATACTGCAACTATTTTAGCAATGACTCTAAGATAACAATAATAAATATTGTAATGTTAGGATGTTTTCTTTTGGACTGTTTTCAGTCTCAAAACAAACCAGACCAGACGTCTATAGTTATAAAATGGACAGAGATCAGACGTTGACTAGACCAGTTCAGATTAGATCAGATCATCAAATTTCAATTCAAAAGAAAGCATCTTTACTCCTATTTCAATAAAAAATTATAGCGATTTTATTTTGGAATTTCAAAATTCGTTTATTCATATTTCATGAACTTTCAATTATTTTATGATCGACTAAGCTAGTTATATGTTAATTGTGATCCATCTAGCCAAGATGCGTATACTGTATACACAGGGGCGGACGTATGTATGTGCTTAAGGGGGCCATGGCCCCTCCCACTTTTTAATTTTTTCAAATACTACTCCTAAATATTGTTTTGGCCCCTCCCAAAAATTTATGAAGGCAATTTAGTACCAAGCCAAACTGCCATAATTCTTTTTATTTTAAATTTTATATTTTAAATTTCTTATTTGAAAGTCTTGTAATTTTTGAGTGTTCTCATTATTAGTAGTGTAACTTTACCCGCATGCTGGTTAGGTTCTCTAACTAATATGGATTACGGAGTATGTCTTTGCAGTTTTAAAGATTTTTGCACCGGAAAGTACACTTTCTGGCAAAAAAATCGACATTGACGACATATTTTGCGTTCAATTATCGATAGGAAAGTGTAGTTTCCTTTGGAAAAGTACTTAAGCTGCAAAAAAATTGTTAATTACATAATCAAATTTACGAACAATTGAAGTATCAAGACTAAAAACGGACACAAAATAAATTTATTGAACCAAAATTGCAAATGTTCTTTTACTCTTAATACTTGTACTAAATCCCGCCCTTCCTGAGAGGCTGAGAGTGAAGTCTGGCTCCACCCCGCATATAGACATTGATAGGACATGTGTTATTGTTTAAAAAATATATCCAACGGGACATGTTGGTGCTGCTCTTAGTAGTCCCAAATTCAACCAAGTCGGAAAAGAATACCACTATTATTATATAACTAAAAAACAAAAACTGCTGGAATATTGATTTATAATAAAATATATATAAAGAATCAAATTGAAGAAGATAGTCAAGATATAAGATCGGGCACTTTGATGACCAAAACTAACCAGTGCTAATTAAATTCAACCTATGAAGACTATAAACACGTACGTACACTCAATCATCATATATCTATAATAATATACCACAAATAAATACAACAAATTAAATGAAATATAATCAACCCCATAAATATAATACTAGTATATATATATACGTACTGTGAATGTACCCATTCCAAAAGCTATTTAATTACTTGAGACTGTACTTTAAATCATAAATGAATATATAATAATTATGTATAATAATGAATAGGTACAGGTTATTTCAACGACTCGATCCCTGAGATTGGATCATTTTATGTGGAAATTAAACCAGACAGAAGACCCGCGTTTCTCTCCTTTATTTTCTCCAATCCTATCAAAAACACACCACCTCTACTAATTAATTAGCGAATGAAGTAATACAATACAATTTGTTTGTATGTACGTATATATCGCATGTTGTACGATGCGACGACTAAAGTCAACGACGGTGGGCCCCGGGCTAAGCTCTTGCCGGAGGCGGGAAGAACGTACCCGCTGCCATGAACGGGTCCACATACCCGGACCCTCCGTGCTGATGCTCCGGGTCCGTGGCAGCTCTCGAGGAAGCGGCGCCGACGACGGTGCTAAGGAGTAAGCTGCTGTGGTTTTGGTGGTGCGGTTGAAGTCCGCCGCCGGCACTGCCGCAGCCGGAGGAGGCCTCCCCCGCCGGTGTCATGTGATACTGAGCCTCCTCTGGGCCTTCGTCGTAGAGGATCCCCTTGAAAAGATGGCCGCCTATCGTGACGGAGGCTTGGTAAGCGTACTGGTCGTCGTCATCCACCGACCTCATCCTCACGCACTGGAACACCGCTGTTGTGCTCACCTTCCCCGGAAAATTCCCCAGCTCTAACCCTAATTCAAAATTCTTAATTAGCCTTGTTCATCTTATTATATTTCTCCTTATCAATTCACATACTACAGTAGTATATATTGAATTTACATACGTAAGAGTCAAATTAATTAATATGGGATTTTAAATAGAAAGACAATGTTTTTCATTCCCTCTATATATAAAATTAATTGCTCAAAATCGTACCTGCAAAATCCTCATAATAGTAAAAATTTAATACTAAGTATAACAATAAGTTACTCCTAGCTTAGGGAAAAAATATACTTGTACTACTCATGTTCTTAAACAAATTAATGCAACACTTCACTTTTCACATTTATAGATACATAACTTTGATGACTATTAGTCTATTTAAATCTCTATTAGTAAAAATATAAAAAATTCAGATTCTGAAAATTTACGATGAGACAAATTTAACATTTTTTTTCCAATAAAATGTAGTCAAAGTAGAACATATGAATAATATAAAATTCAACATGTTGCATTTATTTAAGAACATGTGTAGTATACAGTAATACTCTTGTGTAAGTTGTTCATGAGAGTACGTGTTACGGGAGTTTGCCCTAACTGGGAGTAAATATGTTTATTTATATCAAATAGGACTATTTTATTTTATTCCTAAATACAACTAATTACCGCAATGTTTCGCCACTACCGGACTTTAAACATGATATTATTTTCAAACTTGACAATAATTACTCTTAATTGAGGAATACAAAGATGGCAGATCTATTTTGAAATTCTCAAACGTTTTTAGTCATATTTCAAGAATTTTCTGGAGTGTTATTTGCTCCACTTTAAATATGATTTTTAACAATTACGGAGTACTATTATAGTAATAGACATAAATATTAGTTTCTCCATATATCATTATAAGTGTTGCAATAGGTTTTTCACGTAGTTCAATACTACCCCATCCCAAAAAGAACTGATTAATTTGACCTTTCTCGATGAATAATGTTAAAGTTTAAATCATGATTTTAGGTATTATATTTGTGTGTAATTTATAAATGCTATACTTTTATGAAATGATTTTTAATGAAGAGTATGCTCATATAATTTTTATATTTAAAATAATTTTGTATTCAAAAATATTATTGGTCAAATTTGATCACTATTGACCAAGAAATATCAATTTGAACATTCTATTTTAGACGAAGGGAGTATGAGGCTTTCGGTGTTGTAGTTGTACTGTATATTAAAGTGTATTGTAACTACTTTTTTAGATTAATTTATTTCTAAAAATGGATATGTGACAATTGATTTGACGCAGTGTGAAAAAGGATTACGTGACACTTATAATCCGAGAGAGTATCACCCTTAGTTACGTTTAAATCTGCTAAGGTAGAAAATAGTGAAAAGAGACTTGAGAATGCTATTAACAACCGTAATAGTGGGGCTTCGTGCAGTAGTAATGGTAAAAGTACTAAGCTAGATACGGAGTAGTATTTTCTTGTAAATCGATCCGTTTGTCATGTTTGATATGATTAATGCTGAACCCAAAATTGTATTGGCGATCTTCATGAAAAGAGGAAGAAACAATTATTAAAACCCCAAAATGATTTATTTATTTAATTATTGATTTATTTCAAGGAAATTGGTATTTTTTTGGGAAACTTGAATCAAAAAGTTAGAAAACTTTTAAAGACAGTACGTGAGCAATAACAATAATAATAATAATAGTAATAATAATAATAATAATAGTACTAATAATGCATTAAATCATTAATTATACTCATTTGTCTCGAATTAACATTTCTCGTATTAACATTTTAGGTTCTATCGACAATGGCTGACTTACTTCTGATAAAATTATAATAGCTTCCTCTAAGAAATTTTAAAATGATATAAACAATTAAAGTTTACATCTTAAGGAAGTAGAATAGAAACTCTATTGGACATTAAAAACGGGATTTAATGAAATTTAAAAGTAGGTATGAGAAATCTTAAAGTACATTGTTAAATTAAGTACTCCGTACATGAATATAGTGTGGAGACACTTAGATGCTGTTTGGTATGTGTGTTTTTCTGTTTATCAAGTTTATCAATCAATTTTTTTATCAAACACATTATTTCGCACACTGTATTGTGTAATAATAAGAAAAAGTAAGGTTGTAGTCACTTTTCTGACTGTATGGCTGAAGTTACTGTGAATAGATGACCATTTTAGCTATTTTTACATACTACATTCGTCCCTTAAAACTTTGCCAAAGTTGACCGGCACGGAGAATAATAAAGTAAAAATTGTGTGGTTGAGATTTGTGCAGAGGAGAGAGAAATAACAGAAACCACAAAATAATTGATTAAAAGGGAAAGTGACAAAGTTATTTGGGACATCCCAAAAAGGAAAGATGAATATTAGGAAGGACAAATATTGTATAAAAGTCCTATTTAAAAAATAAAAATATACATAGTCCTATTTAGAAATTTAAGAAACAATTCAATCATATTTAGGCTAATAACTCAATCCTCACTACAAGTCATTAATCATATTTAGTAGCACAATACTAAAATGTGATTGGATAAGAAAATGTGTGTACCGGTGCACTCAAAATTTGAGAATGCACCGTAGAATTTTCCTTATAATAATAGTAATAATAATAGTAGTAGTAATTGGTTCAGTTGAGATGGTGTTCATAAGTTTTAGAATAATTCGTTTAATATGATATAAATGATAAATCCAATTAAAGCCTATTAAAATACATGACCATTTTTTTTTGAAAATAAAATGCACGACTAATTGTCAAATACATTGTGATCTGATTACATCATCGTAACACTTGGAAAGACGATGTCTTCGAATCTCATCCGAATTGAAAGAGGTTGGACTTAACATTCAACATATAGGATTAGAAAACTTGGCTAAAAATTACCCCACTAATTTGGTAAAGTATATAGCTAGGAATTGAGTTACGGTGTATTTATATATTTAAAACAAATATATAATCCAACAATAATAAACAAATAATGAAATGAGCAAATTACCGGCTGCAGTTGCGGCTGGATCATCGTCCTCTCTCTGTCGTCTTTTTGGGGTTGATAGTAATTCTCTACTGCTACTGCCGTCTCGGCCGCCGCTATCGAGCTGAAGGCTTTGTTGATTATCGCTGTGGTAGTGTCGCGGCTGCTGTTGCTGCCGTTCGCGGCGTTTCGCGGCAGGGACCCATGTGCTCTTCACGTGAGTCTGGCAGGGAAACCCGCGGCTCTTGCAGCAAGTCCTACACCTCATGTGCGAGCAGTCCTTCTTTGCCTGGTTTCCGCAGTCTTGGCAGCTGATCCCGCCGCCGCCTCCGACGGAGCCGCACCGCATCATCGCCACGAAGGCGGCCGACCTCGACTGGTTGTCGTCGATACCCCCTCCTGCATCCCCGATGCTCCGGCTGGGGCCCACGCCCAGACCGACGATGGCGGAGGAGTAGAGATCCTGCAGCGGGTTATGGTTGAGGTGGTGGCGGACATGGTGGTGCTGTGGCTGATCTTGCCATAGCTCGAACCCTTTACTATAGGCGGCGGGCGCGGGTATTTCCTGGACGTCGTCATTCCTGTAAATAAACCAACTTTCGGGGTTGATTTCGCCGTGGGGGCGGTTGGTGGCGCTTTCTCGGTGGTCTTGGCCGTTGGCGGTGGCTCCTCCTCTCCCTCCGCCGGCTAAAGAGAAAAAGGCGGCCATATTTACATATATATATGTTGATCGAATTCAAAATGGCAGTTTAATTAAGGGGTTTGTCTTTCTTGACTCGATCATCTATGTGCTAGCTGGATGGTTGTTTCTACTCTATTCTATTCTAGATCGAAAGGTGTGGGACGGCGGGGATGAAATGAAAGAAATATAAAAATTGCAGCTTTCTGGTTTTTCTTGGACAGATGAAGAAAGTAGAGTAGACTTTTTAGAGAGAGAGAGAATGGAGGGAAGAGGTTGGTGATGTACGAGTGAGTTATGGGAAGCGCATTTAAGGAAGGACGTACGACGACCTTAATTAGCAGCTAGCTCTGCCACGCCGCCCGCCGCCATGGCCTTAAAGCGCGCATAGCAGCAGCAGCAGCTCATCTTAAAGATCGATCAATTCCAAGTCTGCATATCTTGAATTCCTAGCTAGCTAGTTCCTTTCGATCTGATCTTCCCGTCCGATCCTTCACTCTGATCTATTTAAGAAAGAAAGAAGCGAAGTAGCACTTGAAACTTTATTAGCGTGATAGTTAAATTTACCACGAGCGTGGTTAGGGTTAGCTAGCGAGGCTACCTTTGTCATTGTACCAAGTATCGCAATCACATATACAACCAAACCATATTCTTTTCATTCGTAGATATGCATGGCCCGTTGGTTCTTAACTTTTAGGGTCGGTTTGGATAGAGTGTTTGAAAATGTTAGTAATGAAAGTGTTAGTAAGTGTTAGTAAGAACCCAAAAGGGAAAGTAAGTGTAAGTGTTAGATATAATTTTACCTTGTTTGAGAGAGTCAAATGAATGAAGTGTTAATAATGGAATTATTAATAATTTTACCTTGAATCAGAAGAAACGAGCAAGGAGAAGAGATGAAAAAGGCAGATCATCAGACCTGCGGCAAAGAGATTCGAAGTGAGATGTCGAAGTATTTTATGTTTTTTGGGTAAATTAGAAGGGTAATAAGTGTCCAACACCTCAAAACACTCCAAATCGGGGTGTTAAAAAAGTGGACAATTGAGGTATTGGGAAGGTTATTATTAATCTTCTTAACACCTCTTAATTTTTCTCTCAAACAAATGTTAGTATCAACACTTACTAACACTTCCATTACTAACACCCCCTAACACTCAATCCAAACAGGCCATTAGGTAATTAAGCTCAAGCCATCTACACTATATATTTAGTATAGTACTATAGTTTGGTACTCCGTGCATCCCATTATTAACTAGCCTTTTCTTTTCAATAGCTTAATTAACAAAATCAATTTTCACATAAGGTCGGTTTGAATATATCAACTTGTATCAAGTGAAGTAAAAAGTAACTATGTTACATTTCACATTTCTAAGTATATATAAACTCACTTGTTTGATGTTAATCGAGTATACACGTTAGATAAACACGTAAATATGTTGATCTTTGCTTACTAGGGTATGTATTGACGATTTTACTGTCGCATGAAGGAGTACCTCTGGGAAAATGGTTGAGTTCGTTAGCGAGATACATTCCATGGCCCCCAAGTGTGAGTAGCTCAAGACAGCGGTGGATCTTCTTATGGTGACCCCCCTTAGCGAGCGCTTCGGTGAGGCCCTGGCCTTGGACTCTTACGGAAAGTGATTTCGGGCGGTCATTGAGGTGTTGGTGCCCATCCTAGCTAGCTAGTTCAACATGGCCCCCGACCGTTCCTCATTTCTGACAAATATTTCAGTGCCCAGCTACGTGCCAAGGCGATCACCAAAGGCAAGGATACCGACCCTGAGTCCTAGGCCAGGGGCGGAGGTGAAGGGTGGTCAACCAGGCCCCGGTCCAGCCCAAATTTTAAAATTGCTTATATTTTCAATGTAAAAATTTATGTGTACAAAATTATCTGTAAAAATTCTTTGAACCGGCCTAGCCCAACTCATACTTCTGGCTACGCCATTTTCAAGGCCGATGAGATCGAGGATGAGGATGAAGACTAGATTGGCCCCCTCTGCTTTTTCCTTTGCCCTTTTCCTTCACTCTTTGTAATTTCTTGTCGTTAGCCCCAAAGAATTAAAAAGTGAGTTACGTTTTCTCTTCCTGATGGATAGTCTACCCGGGGGTATGTATCCGAGGGGTTATTGCGGGAGATAACTAGAGAGAAGTCAGAGCATAAATTAGAGAGAGAGAGAGAATATATTGCTGAGAAAGTAGTGAGTGTGTTTCGCTTGGATTACAAATGGGGAAAAGAGACGCTATTTATAGTAGTAATAAATGCCAGATAGGGACACGTGTCATCATTCTGATGGTCGGGGGGTCACCTCAACGGGGGTGGCGTTGGCATTCGCATGTGGCCGCATTAAATACGGCTGTTGGATGTGACGTCGTACTTGGTACGGTGATTCAGGCGCATGTGGAGAGGATATTATGTCGAGAAAGGTGCCCTCGACTGCAGGTGATTAACCGAGGGCTCTGAGTACCGGGGACCTCCTTAGTGCCGAGGGCTACTGATTTTCGCCGTTTTCTCCCAGTGACTTTGTTTGCTTGAGTTGGCCATCCTGTGAGAATTGGAGCCTTCGGCCAGGGGGGCGAAAGCACCCTGTAATACTTGAGATTTAATTTAAACGGATTAATAGTACTACTCATACCAACAGAGGTGCATCTCCTTTTAAGGGAGCTCATCACCCAAGAACTCCAAAGTTAAGCGTGCTTGCATGAGAGTAGTCTTGGGATGGGTGACCCCCTGAGAAGTTTCTCAAGGCGCGCATGAGTGAGGACAAAGTGCGCGGTAAAGGCTCGTGGTGGTTTGTGAGGACAGTACTATTGGTCTAGAGTAGCTACCTCGGGTCCTGCGAGGCCGGGGTGTTACAAATGGTATCAGAGCAACCCTGCGACGGTGTGCTGATCCGTTGGATATCGGGCGAACACTTAGTAGGGGAAAAGATTCTGGGATATGATTGAGATTGGTGTTTGGGCGCAACGAGGACGTTGCGTTCCTAAGTGGAGGTGATTGTAATACTTGAGATTTAATTTATACGGATTAATAGTACTACTCATACCAATAGAGGTGCATCTCCTTTTAAGGGAGCTCATCACCCAAGAACTCCAAAGTTAAGCGTGCTTGCACGAGAGTAGTCTTGGGATGTGTGACCCCCTAGGAAGTTTCTCAGGGCGCGCATGAGTGAGGACAAAGTGCGCGGTAAAGGCTCGTGGTGGTTTGTGAGGACAGTACTATTGGTCTAGAGTAGCTACCTCGGGTCCTGTGAGGCCGGGGTGTTACACACCCCTAGTGTGCCACGTGGGTTGCTTAGTACTTGGGGCACTGTGATTTGGGTCTGCTATGCTTCTTGGGCCTATTGGGCCTCCCTTAGAATAGTAGGAGTCTATGGGCCGGGGTTCCCGGGCCATATACTCCATCAGGAGTCCCTCACTCCTTTTGCCGAAAGGTACTTGAGGGAAAAGGAGTAATTTGTGTTTGTCCTTTGGTGTTGTTCCATTGTAGTTTGTGAAGTTTGTGGGTAGTTTGTTGTGTGCATGTTTCAGCCGAGGGAAATCCATCAGTTACCCACATTCCGGGACTTGAGGGATCATGCTTGTTGTTGTGGGAGTTTTTGACATTTTTTTAATTTTTGAGGTTTTTTCCCGAGGCACTTGCAAAGTGGTGAAAAGGAGTAGAGCAGTGCCTGCCTGTAATGTGAAGCCGAGGGGTGATGCTTTTCGTTTCATTTTGGGGGGATGCCTCATTAAAAACCTCATTGGAAAAAATTCCAATGAGGGAAAAAGAGTGCACCGAATTCCCCCAATGATGAGTCGAAAAGGTAAAAACCCTGGTCCGAAATGAGTGGCAATATTCTTGCCGAAGGCTATCCTTGTCTGAAGGCGCGTGTGTTGCTTTGCCGAAGGCTCACCTTTGATATCCTGGGGGATGCCGGGGGGAGCCCCCAATTCATGAGAATGAGGATGCGTTGAATGTAGGTGATATTTCCTGTTCTGTCGAGGGGTCCGTTGTTTGTTGACGAGTGGGGGGGGGGGGGGGGGGGGCAGCCTTTGATGAAGGCGTTCTCCCCCGGGGGCTATGTGGTCCTCAATGTGTTTGAGGGCTGAGTGTTCCCGAGGGGTGCACCCGTTGCGAAGTCGTGGGATTCTGAAGGAGTGAGCCCGAAGGCACTTGTGATGTATTATGAGGTGCATTGGGCGGGAGCACTTCTGGGTAAGTGTACCCGGGGGCTCCTCTTAATAAAGTGGAGCGTAGGAGACAACCCGGGGGCTAGTTTTTTGGTTGATGAAGGAGTGGTCTGCCGAGGGCGCGGTCTTGGTTCCCAGAATATAGCCGTTGTAAATAGAGCCGTTGGAATGTCTAACATCAGAAATATAGCCGTTGGGGGGGCTTCCACGTGGCACATGGTCGTTGGCTGCCTGCGGGCGGGCATCACCGATTGGGCAACTCGTCGGTTTGTAATGATGACTTCGTAATGAAGGCCCGGTTTTCAGGCCCAAGCCCGGATTTGGGCGCCTATAAATACCCCAAGGCCAGGGTCATTACTCCTTGTGCGATTTCAGTGTAGCGAAGCTCTGCCGAATTTCCTAGAGAGAGAAACACCTGCCCTCGATCCAATTCTTGTTCCAAGGTCAGTTCCCCACCTGCTCTTCTCCTCTCTTAGTTAGTTGTGCTCTGTGTCCTTAGATTAGGGGTTAGAATTCTGTAGACAGCCCTCGGTGTAGAGTCCCGTTTCGTAGCATACCAAAATGTCGTCCCAGAGCGATTCGCAGGACATTTAGAGGGAGCCCTCGGTCGAGGATGAAACCGTCTCCGATGTAGAGTCCACAAGTGAACAACCTTCGGTGGGGCATGATGCCGCTGTGGCGATGGAGTTGTAAAGAGCCCTCGTTGCCGAGGTGGAAGCCGAGGGGTTCGAACAAGAATGCGAGGATGAAGAGTTGGCCCTCGCCTGGCAAGTGGCCGAGGAAGAGGCGCAGAGAGAAAGCATGAGGGTCACCGTTGCTGTTCTCCCCCCTCGCGACGCTGGTGAAACCAGCACCTCTCGGTCATTGAACCCGACCCCTCTCCGGGTGGCCCCCGGGAAGAAGAAGACGAAGGCTGCCGCGTCCAAGAAGAAAGGCAGCGTTGCTGATCAAGGGAAGCCTGTCGACATGCCCGAGGGGTACTCCTACCTGAATACCGCCGCCCTTGAGATAAGGTCGAAGGCTGATGGGGCGGACCTCTACGTTACCCAGCTCCACGTGGGGCCCTCAGCGACGGTAGTGCCACCGGGACCTGATGATGTCCTCTCCCGGGCCCCCGAGGGATGTATAGCCGTTCACATTCTCTCGGTGTCAATGGGCCTCCGATTCCCTCTAAACCCTTTTCTGCGTGAGTACCTTCGGTACGTAGGACTGATCCCCTGCCAGCTCACGCCGAATAGCCACTCGTACATCGTGGGGTTCCTTCTTCTCTATAAGTCCCGGGGGGTAACGCCTAGCTTGGACCTATTTTTCCAAAGTTTCAACTTGTG